CACAAGAGGCTGTCGTGCGAGAAAGTGAACCCAGTCGAATCGTAGATCTCTTGTATTGCGATGTAATCTTCGATGATTGGGAAATAATGCTCAGTGCGTGGTGCTTTCTGCAAACGAGAGCAGAGCATGATGAGTTGCGAGAAATGGAAATTGTGCGTACTCGCGATTCTTTTGCTTCAGTCCAAGCTGGTGTCAGATGTGCCGAGATGGTGGTCAAGATCAACCACTATTTAGCCACGATCCGTTTCCGTGAAGCCTCTTTGACAAAGCTGGAAAATCAAGTTGATGATGTTCACCACTTGGCAGAACAGGTGGGACTTCTGGCAGGCAGTTTGCAGGTAGATCCTTTGCTTATGTCTGGGCGACCAGTGCAATCACGATTGGTAGTCGTTGTTGTTGCTTTGCTTCGGATCAGCTCATTACTTGCAGCAACGTACCTTGGGGGGCAGTACTTTGTGCGGTACAGCCCACCCTTCATCCGTTCAAACCTTCCACAATTGATCCGAGATGCTTTTGCTCTCAAGCAGACGGCTGAGCCCAGTGATGGGAGATTGCCGGAGGCTGCCGCTGCTGATTCTGGATGGTTGGAGGAGAGCCTTTCGCAGCTGTTGCCTCCCATTGTTTTCTCTTTGCCATACCTGGCCTTGATCATCGTCCTCCTGAGCGACTTGCGCCGGTGTCGGTCAGCCAATATCAAGTTGAGGCCGCTGAAACCGACCCAGCTGCTCTACGAGGAGTATTTTGGCATTGAAGGCAAGCTCTACGGCTTCAAAGTTGCAATGCTGCAGTTATTCACAGTGATGCTGCAGGCCTTTGGAAAGCTCCAAATTATGGGTGGCCTTGTGTCGTTTGCATTCCATTCAGCTCCGAAGCATTCAGGTGCATTCGAAAGATGTTTTTGGGCTTTTGTGGGTTTCCTCTGTTTGAACAGCATCTATCCAACCATTCTGTTGGCCGTCCCCTCTGTGAAGTGGGTGCGCCGGGGTGCTGCGATGATGGATGCGGTTCTTGATATTGCTTACACCAGCACATACCTCATCATCACCTTGCTGGCCATCCACGAACTGCAGCTGGACCAAGCCATTCAAGGAAATTTCGGGGATGAGGCTTCGGTCAACTTCCAAGCAGAATTGGACCCGGCATTTGCATTCCCATCCGATTTTTTTGGTTTCTTTGCTGTCTACTATTCTCTTGCACATGTTTGCACAGTTTGCCGTGCTTTGGAGCGAAGCGATCGACTGACATACTGGAAGAAGTTGCAAAGCTTACCGAACTCTGCTTCCCAGTCACTGTCGATTTCATCGAGATTTTGCTCAAAGAGATATCGAATTTGTTCCAAAGCGTTGCATTTTTGCTGCATTGGTTTCATTGGTTTCGTTTTATGTTGTCTCTGCAATTTTCAATCCATCGTGTTTTCGCAACCTGTTGACACAATTTGTCATGTGAGTATCTCGAAGCCCCTCAACTTGCCAACATATTTGTACAGAGGAGGCGTCTTGTTGTTCTCAGCTTTACTGTACTTGCTGCACCCGTTTGTGCATCCTCAAGCATACCAGTACAATCTGATACACCACTTCTTAAGCTGTTGTTCCCCAGCATCAACAGCCAAGGGGGTTCCAGGGCTCTTGAAAAGTTTTTCAGCGCGTTTCAGGGTTCCCAGGAGTTTCACAGGTCCAGGATTCCGAGGTGCATTCCAAGTATTTCAGGAGTCACACCACAGGCATTTGCGAAGTAAAACAATTGGATACCTGAGATTAGGTTTCTGTTTCATGGCGAATGCCCCCCCCTTTCATACCATTGGGCTTTGATGGATGAACTCGAGTTCTTCGTTTCTCCTTGCAACCGCTGCTTAGGTATTCGCCCTGTTTGCTGGTCACGATCATTGCTCTATTGCTTTCAACGCACTTCTACCCGATTCACAAGGATGATTTCGGATGCTTTCCGTGTCGCTGTCACCAAAAGGATCATGGTGCAAAGCACCTTGCGAGCTGCAGCCTTATAGGCATTCTTCGCCTCAAAGATGTGAGCTTGAGCGAGCAGAACATCACAAGTGTTGCAGAGGATGCCTTCACCTCTTCACGGGGCTTGCAACGATTGTCGCTCTCTGGCAATCGGTTGTCATTTTTACCTCAAAATGTGTTTGCCCTGTTGGAGAGCCTGCAACTCTTGGACTTGGGCCGCTTGAGTTTGAAACATGTGGAGTCAGACACGTTCAGCGGCTTGTCAAACTTGAAAATCTTGTCCCTCAGCCAAAACCGATTGAAGGTGCTGCCAGAAGACTTGCTGCGCCCCATGCCAGCCCTGGAGCAATTGTTGCTGGGGGGTAAATCTGATGAGAGGGGCTATCCCATTTTTGATGGAAACGAGCTGAAAATACTTCCGCAAGAGCTTTTGCAGCACAGCCCGCGGCTACAAGTTCTCGATCTGAGCGAAAACAGGTTGAGCTCACTGCCAAGTGGCATCTTTGATAAGACTCCTTTGTTGCGGACCCTCGACCTTGGTTCAAACAAGCTGGCTGAATTGCCAGGCGAAATCTTTTCAGGGCTCAGCAAACTCCAGGAGCTGGACCTGAGACGGAACACTCTCAGTGAGCTACCTGCTGAAGTCTTTTCCGGGCTCGGCAGGTTGCAGGAGCTTGACCTTTATAGCAACGATCTCAGCGAGTTGCCTGCTGAAGTGTTAGCAGGGCTTAGCAACTTGCAGATTCTCAACCTGGGGGCCAACTATCTCGGCGAGTTGCCTGCTGAAGTCTGGGCCAATCTGTTTGCAGGGCTGAGAAGCTTACAAAAGATTGACTTGGGCAGCAACAGGCTTGGTGAGCTACCTGCTGAAGTCTTTTCAGGACTCAGCAGCTTGCAGGAGCTCAACCTGGGGTACAACAGGCTCACTCGGTTGCATGCTGGAGTCTTTTCCGGGCTCGGCAACCTGCAGAAACTCGATCTGAGTTCCAACTTGCTCAGTGAATTGCCTGCTGAAGTGTGGGCCCATCTCTTCGCAGGTCTTAGCAACTTACGGACGCTGAACCTGAGGTACAACAGGCTCGGCGAGTTGCCTTCGAAAGTCTGGTCCAAATCGTTTGCAGGGCTCAGCCACTTGCAGGAGCTTTACTTGAGCGGAAACGATCTCAGCAAGTTGCATGCTGGAGTCTTTTCCGGGCTCGGCAACCTGCAGAAGCTCGATCTGAGTTCCAACTTGCTCAGTGAATTGCCTGCTGAAGTGTGGGCCCATCTCTTCGCAGGTCTTAGCAACTTGCAGCAGCTGAACCTGAGGTCCAACAAACTCGGCGAGTTGTCTTCTAAAGTCTGGTCCAAATCGTTTGCAGGGCTCAGCCACTTGCAGGAGCTTTACTTGGGCGGAAACGATCTCAGCAAGTTGCATTCTGGAGTCTTTTCCACGCTGGGCAACCTGCGAATTCTTCTCCTCGATGAGTGCAGGCTGAATGAGTTACCTGTCGAAGTCTGGGATCATCTGTTTGCAGGGCTCGACAACTTGAGTTTTCTCTCGCTGGAAGACAACAGACTCGGCGAATTACCCGCTGAAGTCTGGGCCAATATGTTTTCCGGGCTCGGAAGCCTGCAAGAGCTTTGGCTACCCGGCAACGATCTCAGTGAGTTGCCTGCGGAAGTGTGGGCCAATGTGCTGTCAGAACTGGGCCAGCTGCAGGACCTTTGGCTGTGGGGCAATGGTCTCAGCGAGTTGCCCGCAATTTGTTCGGCTATAACGTGTGTCAACTGGTGAGATGGTCAACTGAGATGTCCGGCTATGCGGATGAAGGATTCTTTTTTTGAGAAAGTGTGTCAACTATAACTACTGAGATGTCCGGCTATGCGGCGCGGATGAAGGATTCCTTGTCTGTTTCGGCGAAAATGATGAGGTGCTCTGCCATCTGCCCGCTTGATAGGGTTGTGGGTAGGACTGGTTCCTGGGTATAGATCACACAGTCAAGCGACGAGATTTCACATTTCACCCACTTCCAACAACCCCTTTGAATCTAGTTTCAATGCGTTTCATATGGTTTGTCCTCGTGATATTTATTGCATTCTATTCTTGTTTCGTGATTTTTTGGGGTGTTTTGAGAGTAGCACCTGCATTGGGCGACCAAGGTCCAAGGTGGCAGTGGCACCTGGCGCGCAACTAGAGAGACGTTCGCACACCGAGGCATCAGAATGTCCAGTCGAAGTCATCACAGGTATGAAAGTCATTTTCATGAAGCTTTCGGTTCTGGTGTGATCTCTGTAAGTGTTCAACCTCCATTGTTGGGATGTCTTCCCGGGTATTTGCGGCTTGTTGTTTCTTTGCAAAACGCGGAAAGAAGCCGCTGAGACAGGTGTAACCAATGTGTCGACCACGTGAAATGCTGAGTGCTGCCATTTGGATCCATTCGGCACGCTGCGCCTTGGACCAGGCACTGCTGGCTCCAAATGGGAACATCACGCCGAAAATTTTCGAGTTTCGACAAGTTGTGGGTGTATGGCCATTTCTTTTAAGAACATGACAACATCATACAACATCCAACAACATAACACCAGAAACACCATTTGAATCCAGAATCTGGTGGGGGTCGATCCACTGGGTCAAAATCCATGACTTAGCTTGGAAAAAGGTGCCTGGACTTGACCCTGAAAGACCTCAAATGTTTTGGTGCATCACTTGAGGAAAGCGTTGCAGATAGTGACAACTGCCAGGGTTTCTACCATGGAGGATGATGCAGCAAGGGTTAGGGTTTATCCATGTACACGCTTACAACATCTTATCAATGCCAAAACTTGTATGGAAGTTCAGCACCTTCAAGTTGAGATGGTTTCCATTGTTTGGGGTGTTTACACCACTCAATGTGTGGAAAGGACAACCATGTGACTATTCCGCAAGCTGCTCCGTATTACCGGCTTTTCGCATGTGTACACACCATTACACAACTTATGTGGGGATTCCGATATTTAGACACCAGTCATATCCTGATAAAGGGCGCCTTATCCAAAAGTCTCCCGTTTGCTGGGACTATGTCCCCGAAATGGGCTTCGCATGGGGAAAAGGATGAGCCTGGCTTCATCCCAGCGCTGCAGGAAAAACTCACTGCAGCGGCCCGAACGCCCAGCACTGCGCGATTGACGAGTTTCGAGAGTCGTGGGGTGAGGACATGGCCAGGGATTTAGAATGATTTCGAGTTGATACCAATTGACATACTACTAGTAACAGGAGTTTTCATCATGAAAAGCAACGAGATTATGACCTTGATTATCATTGGCAGCAACATTTCTGGAACATCTGGAAGATTGCATACATTCCCATCATCTTTCAAGCACTATGCGGCCCATGGATTTTGGACGGGTCAACTGCATTGAGAGACAACGATTCCCGAATTTTCCGTTGAGGCTCGGTATTCCAAGAGAAACCCGGGTCCACCTTCCCTGTCCCAGAGAGATGTTGAGGCCCCCGGTGCAGGTGGCAAGTGCTTCCAACCCCAACATGTATCCTTTGGTTGTGAAACCTGGTGATAGGAAATCCTGCTTTTACAGTTGACTTTCCTATTGAAACATTGGGTTTTCACGGCCAGGCTACGCTATTGGAGGATGTACATGTCAGAAGTTGGATTATAGATGATCATAATATGACTTAACACAGAATTTCTTTTGTTTTGTCTCTTTAGGATCCTGTAGAATCCTTTAGGGTTCAGGGGTGAAACGAACTCAATGCCCATCATTTTGCTGTCAGTCGAAGAGCTGCAGGACTTCTCGGCCTTGGTCCTAGACGAGCGCGGAAACCAAGCATGAAATATTCTTGATGACGGATGTTCCATCGTCTAGCATATATCTATAGATATATAATTATAATATTGTATAGTACATTTGAACATCCAGTGTTGCTATTTGGACATAGCTTGCTTTCGAAGGAGTTCTGCAAAGTGGTTGTGGTTCTTTTCCTTGACCGTGTGGGCCGTGTTTACTGCGTTGGTTCTTTTGGAGGTGCTGCCCAATTGTGTCTCCGCAGCTTCCTTTCAAGACGGACCTGCGCTGCATCTGCATTCTGCGGTACCACTCATCTTGACATGAAACCCTGGCCAGCCTGATCAACAAACAGCCAAATCTCATGTTGCGCAAGAGCAAGTCTTTGATAAACCATCGATATTAAACCTGTGTATTGTTCCAGACTGCACTGAATTCGTGCCGCTGGACAGCGCAAAGGATTCGCTGCCTCATGTCGGTCTCTGTGGATATTCCTGGACATGGTTACTTTGATATCAAACTGTCAACCTGACTGCTTCGAGCACCGCTGCTGACATTATTTTACTGCTACGTGAGCGTTTGCCAGACAGCCCATGGCATGGGAACAAGTTGCTATCAAGTGGGGTCTGCCAGCTACAGTGCGATGACATTGTGGAGGCAACCCGCCACAGCACTTTAGTCTTGACAAACTACTCAGAGATCACCAGCCAGGAGAGAAACCTGCAGCTTTGTTTCTTTTTCAATAGGTAATGCAGACCATGCCAAGTAGCAAATCGCGATTAGAAACTAAATGCCAACAAGTACCAATTGCGACAAGTGCAGCAGTGTGATGGGCCGATTCATTTTTTGTTTTGGGATTCAGTGGTTTAAACGTTCGAACGTGGCTTGTGAGATCTACTTGATAGTGGGGGAACAGTCGGCCACTGAACAGGCGCCTTTGTGCATTGAGACCATGTGAAACAAAGGCAATTTAACCGATAGGATCAAATCGAATAAAGAGAAACCGTATTTAAAAGTCAATCGTTTGAAATTCAGAGATTGCAGGCCCATGATTCCCATGATTGCACCTTTTGAGGGTACTGCATAATGCTTTTTGAATTCCATTCCAATTTCATTTGCTGCATTTGTTGGTGGACCTGTCGAAGGAGCCTTTCTGCATCGAAGATACTGCAGAGCGAGGGATCACGCGCGAGCAATTGGCGAAGATCGTTGTTTTCATCTCCAAGATGGCTGACAGATGGTGCGAGACTTTCGGAGAACAGCGTGGGACAAGGCTGCAGTTTGAGACCTTCAACCTGTATGATGCGAATCACTGGATCATCAAACCAGCCACTGAAGCCTGGATTTGTTGATGATGTGACAACATTTTCCAATTTGAAGAACCTACCGTTTTTCTTTTTTAATTGGCAACATTATGTAGAATCCCAGGACGGCTATGCGAAAAAGGGCTGCAGCATGGTTGAGATCATGGCGATTCAAGTGCAGAGACCTCACTGGTTTGTGTCACATGCTTGGATCGAGCCTTGGATAGGCAAACCCTCAAGGTTGTTTGAGATCGTGTTATTGCATTGTCTGTCAGCAACAAGTTACTTTTTCCGCTAATAATTCACATTCCCCTAGAAGCCTTGATTGAGTTTTGGACTTGTTCATTTCGGAACCTCAATAGGATGCTGTATCAAAAGGAAATGAACATCGAGCGTAATGATAGATGAAAGTCAATCTATTGCTTTGAAGCACGTCCAATTGTGAGGAGCCTGTTTGTAAGTTTCTGGCCTGCTTGGAGCAGCATGCTCTGGTGCGAGAACTCTCAAGCAGTACATTCTATTGGGTCTGTGCATATGCCAATAACCAGCACTGCGTGGAAGAGGATATCAAAAGCAACCCACGCAGCACTTCATTCTACAGAGCTATGCAGATGTCTGAGGGAGTTCTTTTGGTGCTGGATTCAGCTGGAACGCCTTTCGTCAAGAAGGGAGGAGTCTATAGCTGGAAGTGTCCTGTTTGCAAACTTGGCTTGTCCGCTGATCACAACCTCAAACCTGGCCAAGTGTACAGCGTCATCCGCAAGCATAGGGAAGACAAACATCCTCAGGCGGATGCCAAGCTCTTCCACAAGGACAGCAGCTTCAGACGGGAGAATGCTAGCAAAGCCACGCGCCAGGTGCGTGCAGCTGCAGTGGCTCGAAGGTTGCTTGGCTTCAAGCGTGGCGATGCTGGAGCACATGACCCCACTTTCGTTACCATTCCAGCCACAGGAAATGGCAAACAGAAAAGAGTTGGAATGTCTTACGTCATTTGCAAAACTTGTGGCAGTATGGCTTTGACAGCGAAGCGTTTGGCAAAGATTGCTTGTGAACAGTATGCTTCCAGCAAAGGGCCCAAACGAAAGCAGTTGGTGGAAAGATTGCGTGCGTGCCTCAATAATGCAGACATCAGCGATGACCTCAAGAAGGGTGCCCGCACAGTTTTGGAAATCATCGACTCTGGAGCAGTTCGCACCACTGATACTGCAGCAGACAGCACGCATCAGATTGAGGCCATTGTGTGGCCTGCCAATTTTACGGTGCGTTTTGCTTGTGTGCATTGCAAGCGTTGTGTCAACAACATCAGACGGCTTACAGGAAGTCAGTGTCCTCGTAAAATGGTTTGGACTAAGTTTTCGAAAGGGCCAGAGGGATATTTTGGTGCCTCTTGCGGCTCAGGCTCCAAGTGCCAGACAGCGAGCTGCTTCGCGAGCTTTGGACATTTTGGGATTGCAGCAGGATGGCGCTGTGGATCAGAACCCATGACGGGCTCTGACAGCACTATGCGGTTGGGGACTATGAATGTACGGTCCTTGGGAGGCCGCTTGGGTGGTGTGCTTGACTTTGCTCAGCTCCAGAATTTACATGTTCTGTGTCTTCAAGAAACTAGAGTTAACAATCACAGCTGGAATGCTGTGACTCGTGCCGTCAAGGCACGCGGGTGGCAACTTTTTCCTGGCCCTCAAGGAAGAAATTCGAAAAATGTAGTGGAAGGGGGTACATTGGTTCTAACAAAGTGGCCTGCTGAGGCCTTGGCCCTTCCTGTCGACATGGTGTCTGTGGAAAGATCCATGGCCGTCAAACTCTATAGACCTCAGCAAAGGCCGTTGATTCTCATCAATGTTTACTTACATGCTTCAGATCGCACAGCTGCCAGCCGTGCGCTGGGTGCGCTGTTCGAGTTTGTTGCTACTTGTGGTGAAGATACAGTGATCATGGGTGACTTCAATTTGGAAATTCATTGTTGGCCAATTTCTAACGTTTTGGCTACTGGACAGTGGCGGTCCTGTGATGAGCTGGTTTGCGGAGATCGTGTTTTAGGTGGTACACATCGAACTGCTGCAGGTGTTTATACAGGTGTGGTCATTGACTATGGCTTGTGCACTCCTCGGGTAATTATTACTGGTAGGGAGCAACATCTTGGCGTGGCTGACCATGACGCGGTGGTTTACAACTTGCATGTGCCTGGTTCATTATCCACACCGTGGACTCTCCCAGTTGGTGCCCCTTTGCATTCTGAAAAGGTTGCTGAAGCTTCTTGGCTAAGTGCTTGGGAAGAAGTATGTGACGATTTTGGAAATGCATTGAGTACAGGCAACGTGGACTCTGCTTGGACCTTACTTAGCAACTGCGCAGAATCTCTTCTTCTCGCACGTGGCAAAACTGGTCGTGCTATGCGCCAGGGCCCGCAGCAAATTGCCAGTCCTCCGTCTTCAAAAGCGCCTTCTTTGCAAACAGTGAAAGAGCGCAAGCTCAGATGCTTCGCACGAAGAGTGGTGGAGTACCAAAAGGCCCCGTTGCCAGAGTTGGAGAAGAAGTTGGTTCGTGATGGCCCTCATTTACATCATTCTTTGGCTTTTTTCTCTTTGGATGACCCCAGGTTGGTTAGTGCAGTGCTAGAATTGGCAAATGCAGAAGCTACAGCAGCGTCCAAGTTACGCTTGGAGGCGTGGAAGGACAGCGTGCAGGAAAATGCCACCAAACTAGGCAGGTGGGGCAAACAGGTGCCGCCCGCCAGTCCTACTGCAAGTTTTGATGGCCCCATTCTACCTGCAGATAGGGCCAAGTGCGCAGCATTGGATTGGGAGGGGTATTGGAATCCAGGGTCGCTTCCGAATTTGAATCTGGGGGACCAGTTGTACTCTCAGATTGGCTCTGCAAGCGATCCATTGCCGGATGACTGTATTCAGGTTAGTGGTTCTGAATTGGTTCGGATTTCGCTCAAAGCGAAGGACAAGGCTCCGGGCATGGATGCCTGGACAGCTCTCCATTTGTGCAATCTTCCCATTGCTTTTTGGGATCAGGTCGGTGCTCTTTGGGATGCTTGCTTGCGACATGGCTGTGTTCCTGCGATGTGGAAAGATGTTAGAATGGCTTTGTTACCAAAAGCTACTGGTGGCATGCGCCCTTTAGCCATTGTCACTGTCCTGTGGCGTATTTGCATGAGTGCCACTCTGAAAAAATTACAGCATTGGATTGCTGAATGGGCTTCGCCCGAACTTTTTGGTGGTCTACCAGGCAAGGGCATCATGGAAGTCCATGAACGTTTCTACGAAGCTGTCAGCACGGCAAAGCAGTCTCGTGTCGATTTGGTCGGGTGCAAAGCTGATGTTCGCAAGTGTTTTGATTCAGTTTGCCCTCAGACAGCCATTAAAGTGTGGCGATGGTTCGGTGCTCCCTCATCAATTTGTGATTTACTCGCTGATTTTTACAGTGAACAGCGTCGTTGGTTTGCTTGGCAAGGTTCTTATCACCCTCATCCGGTTATTGCTCAACGGGGGTTGTTGCAAGGCTGTCCAGCCAGCCCTGCGCTACTGAACGCTTTGATGACAGTTTGGGTGAGGTTTGTCAAACGGCAGGAACCAAGGATTTCTTTGGCTATTTATTTGGACGATCGCACCATGTGGAAACAAGGTTGTCAAAGTTTTGAAGTGGTCATCAACGCCATGACTGCGGGAGCGCAAGCCGATGCTATTCTCGGCTTCGAACTTCACCCTGACAAATTGGCTAGCTTCGCCACCAAACCGCATCTGGTTGCCAAGGTGCGCAAGAAGAAAGATTTAGTAGGTGTACCTGCGGATACTTTCACACTGCTTGGCATTCAATACAATTTGTCACGCCCCAGTTCTTGTGTTGATGCGGATATTGTCAGCGACAACATTCAGCGACGGTGTCTCAAAATTCGTTTGGCAGCACAGCACTTAGGCACTCGCATTGCATTGGTGCATAAGTTGGTGATATCTTTATTTGCTTGGTCCGGTGCTTTTCATCACTTCAGTGCAAGAACCATTCGAACATGGACATCTATGATCGAAACTGCACTTTGGGGTCGAAGGGCTCCTCCAGGTAGGAGCCGGCTGCTCTTTTGGAATTCTTTGGGTTCTGCAAGACTACATCCGATGTTTGCGCTCCAGTTCACCGCCGCCAGGGCGGAATGGAATCGGCAATGCCGCCGTGCCCAAGGGTTGCCTGCAGCTACCTCGCCTGCTCCTCGCTGGAAAGCAGTGCTCAAAGATTGGAAATGGCGACTTGACGATGGCCTGTGGCACACGCCTGCTGGGATTTTGAAACCTGGGTGGATGTCTTTGAAAAGCTTGCAAAAGGCCGCTATCCATTCATGGCTCGTTGGTTTGTGGACTAAGGACACCAAAACGGATGGTCGATGGCCAAACGGCAAGGAGCCGGTTTTCCTTTTTCAGGCAAATGCAGCTTTAGGCATGGATTACTACAGTCGCAGGGTTTTGACTGGTGCTGCAGTGGATGGCAGGGTCACAGAGCGCTTTGGTTCTGCTTTGAGTTGTGAATGTGGATTGCGGTCTCCTGATCGAGAACATCTCACTTTTCACTGCCAAGCGCAGCCATGGGATGGTGAGTTCAGGAGCGCTACTGAACGTCGTTTGCTGGTTCCACTTGTGGATGCTCCTCCTGTGTTGCCTTTTTCCAACATGGTAGCAGATCCTGCTTTGGTTACTTTTATTCAGCAATTCGATCCTCTTCAGCGACCCACCTTGGGTTTGGACGGCAGTTGTATCATAGCTACTTCCTGTGATCGATGGCAAAGAGCTAGCTGGGCGGTTTCGACACTTTCAGGCACCACTGTTCAAGGTGCCGTGACTGGTTTTGAGCAAACACCTGCTGCAGGTGAGCGTGCTGCTCTTCTGCAAGCTTGTTTAGCCTCTTCTGCAGCCAACAGACCGGTGATGCTCTTGATTGACAATCAGGCTTTGGTGCGGCGGCTTCAGCGAGGCATTAGCACTGGCCGTTGGGAGGGGTGACTTGCCGCTTTTCTGGCAGCGGATCAGCGGCTTATTGATTCAGGGCACTGTTTG